TTTCGCTGCAAGTAAGTCAATCAGTTTTCTGACTGTTTGCTGCATTAGGAGTCTTTTAATGAACAAATGCGCACTTGTGTTCAAGGTTTGGCTGCCTGGGGGATAGTTGTCATCACGGATCCTGTAGGAAAAGCGCAGAGGAAGACTTGAGGACTCTTTAGAAAGCGTGCGTGTAAATGAGCTCAGGACTGCGTGGGGTCATTCACCGGACACCGAGGCAAAGACACTGCTCTGGACAGCCTGCAGAGACCTGTAATGACAGTGGATGTGTGCTGACGTTGTATGTACTCTACTGCTGGAAGCTGCTGACTTCTTAAATTAAAACAACTATTTGTCTATATGTGTGAGTTTAAGTCTCTTTGTCAGCATCAGACGTGTTTGGTAAACCGTGTTGTTAAAGTTACTAGAAAAAAGTAATCAGTAACTAATTACTTCCCCCAAAAGTAATCCCGTTACTTTACTGATTACTTATTTTCAAAAGTAATTAATTACTTTATTTTTATTTTTAAAAAAAATTACAATTAAAAACTGTTATCAGTTTTAATCTTAACTTCATGCATCAAGTAAAATTAAATTATATGCACCATTCTCTGTCTCTAATTACCGTTTTTGCGATAGTAATCCCTTACTTGTTACTTAAAAAAGTAATCAGATTACAGTCTGCCCATCTCTGGTGGTAAATAATGTTGACTCGTTTTATTACCTGCATTAAAGACTATTTATTGTAGTACAAAAATGTGAAACCAATGGTGATGCACACTACTCGTATGTATACTCAGCTCTCATCATTATGTTGTCACTGACTGACCTTTTTCACTCTTTTTAAAATGTCAAAACAGAAAAAGCACGGTTAAACTGACAGTGGGTGCATGAAACCGTGCCATTTTGCATCTTGGTTCACTAGTATATCACTGGAACACTACCTGGAGATTACAGTTCAAAACCTCTGCAGGTAGTACACAGTTTGTGACTAAATAGTTACTATAAAAACAGTGAATTAGGTCAAACTGCCTTGATGTCTCAGGACAACCTCCCAAGTATTAAAAACAGTTCAAGTCTTGAGTCGACATGGTGATTATCAAAAAGATTACTGAATTAACTCTGTGTTTAATAAAGCACATGACCCTGATTTAACTTTAACTTCTGTAGCTTTCTTGTCAGTTGCTGCTCCTGTGTTTGTTTTTCCATACTTTGCATTTGTGTTTTTTGCTGCATGTGGCAGCCATCTGTGTTACTGATAAAGAAACAGTGCCCAAAAGTGTCAGGACTGCACTTATCACTAGAGATGGCACGATACCACTTTTTTTATGTCCGATACCGATATCATAAATTTGGATATCTGCTGATACCGATATGAATCCGATATAGTGTGTTTTAATCAACAAAACTGTTTTTTTTAAATATCTTGCTGCATTTTGTATAAGTTCATACTCAAGTTTAAAACAACAACTACACTAAAGCTATTCTGTTATACCTGTA